ACTCGGTTGCTTCATGTCTGTCACAGGCAGTTGTGGTAACAGTAGCTAGATGACAAGGACTTCAGATCTTGACCTCTTTTGCAGTGGCTTGTTCATACATCCATTCCTTAAATGAACTATATCCTAGAAATCAGTTACAGAGTAAGTGTAAATCATCCTCTCTCCTTTTTTCTCCATCTAAAAAAGTAACCGTCACCTTCAGGCTAGCTCTTCTTCCAGCGCCTCCGGTTGAATCTCCTGCTGATGGCTGTGTGTTGTGTGGGGTTTTGTTTTGGGGTGTTGTTTGTTTGTTTGTTTGTTTTAAAGGGATGTTCAGATTGTGCTGAGCAGGGAGACGAATAGAGTATTTCAGTTGGAAGGGACCTAGAACCGTCATCCAGTCCAGCTGCCTGAGCACTTCAGGGCAGATTCAGAATGAGCAGAAGGGACCAGAGTGCAGGTATTCCATTCTGTAGTAGTTAGAGTCATTGAAAGGACACAGTGGTAGAGAGTGCTAGGAAGAAGTATGCATTAAACAAGAGAAATGCTACCCCAAACTTCACATCCAAAACAAAACTAAATTGCCAGGTAGCCTTCCAGAATATGGAGTGGTTAATCTTAACATCCTTCCCTTGCCTAGCCCTTAGCTCCCCAAACGAACCAACCAACCAACAATAACAAATAAATAACAGTCTGTACAAAACTGGTATATTGTTCTACTGCCATGGAACCTTAACTTTGTCTTATTTGCTTAGTTCTTCTGAGACACCATCTTACTTCACTGTGTACCAGAAGTACTGTTGTCACTGCGAAGCTACAGGAATTTGAGGTGGCACAGAAAGAGGTGTCTCCTGTACCTCTGCAAGGAAGAGACAGAACTGCTCAAGTCAGACAGGTGTGATCAGCAGGGATGGCACACGGCAGGGCAAGCGGCTTTAAGTGATGCTATCACTGTGTAGTAGAAGTAGCGGTTGAAGAGTGTGCATGAAATGCTGTGTATCTGCCTATGAAGGCCTTTCCTCATCACACCGTCCCTAGTGGGGGAACGTGAAGAAGGAGTGCCATCCTTGTGCAGTAAGGAGAAAAAGGGAGATGGAGAAGGTAAGCAGAGAAATGGCAAAGGAGCAGATGGGCCAAAATAGGTAGCACAGACTAACAGCTAAGGTGAACATACTGACTGGAAAGCATCTGGAGAAAGGATAAGAGGCACATTTATCTGCAAACAGCTGGTGAAAAACTCTCTAATCAGGAATCAGTGAGCAAGGGAGACATCCCAGAGCCCATGATGACTTTCTTCCTTTTTGGATGGCAAATCATAATTTATTAGCAAGAAACCAGTGATATATCTTAAAAGTTGTCTAGAACTATGTAGGTCATGAAAGGATGCTACAGTTATTCTTTGAAGCTGCTTCTGTTGCACTCATGTATGTGAATTAACTGGTTTGTGCTTCGTCGGATATATCAGTACTTCCCTCTGTGCCTTGCTCTCTCCAGAGCTCACTTTCAGTGTTAAGCATTTCCATGTTCCTAGCTTCTTTCTTGAGGGAAAACTTTTCTGTCCTTGTTACTGGTCTTGAGCACTTGGAAAGGAAGCCTGTTTCCAGTATCTATTTAGTAATTGCATTTTCTCTCCAGCTAATGATTCTTCAAGGAATTGTTATTGAGCTTTCAAAAACCCTGAAGCCGTATCTATTAAGGGGCACAGCAGTAACGTTAGCGAAGCTGTTCTCCTGGCTTTGTGGAGTGCAAGTGTCGTGTTGGAGTTTTGCATGGGGCTTTTGTGCCATCGTGGGAGTTGGAGTTAGTGAAAGACTCCTTTGTAAGCAGAGAAGTACTGGTGGTGGTTAATCTGTGCGAGCAGATGCTTTGATGTAACCTTTGTCTGTGTGCCAGCTGTGGCACGTGTAGTTTTCAAGAGGTCTTGGTCAAAACCCTATATTTTTCATGTCTGGGAACAAATTAGGGCAGCAGTTGGATGAGTTGTGTATGTTCTGACCTGAGCTGTGGAGATGCTTTGCACTTACAGACATGTTTGATTTTTCATGTGGTCTAGTGGTTTTATTTCTCCTTTTAGAGGAAATCAAGGATCATTCTAGATCTGCTCGACACGGCAGCTTGGTAGCTGCAAACCTTGTTTGATGATAATCCGCGTGTCTGCCCTTCGTGACGACTTCTTTGCACTCAGACGTGTGCCTGCGGCACATGCTGGTCCCGTGTCTGTCACCGACGTGCTCTGACACTGTTGGCTTGCAGCTTCCTCTGGGCTTTGCTGCTGCTGGTGAGCACTGCTCTGAGGAAAGTAGAGGCCCTTCGATTTGGCCATTTATAACCTCAGTGGTTTTAACTGTATTCATTTGTTTCTGAAATCCTGTGTACTCAAGTCCTTAATTTCATGGCAAGCGACTAAGATTTTTGTGGGGCTTTTTGTTTTGTTTTTTACTTTTTTTTTTTTTTAATGCCATGCTGCTTGAGCTTCTGTGCAAGTTACTACAATAGCAGCAGTGTTATGACTTTTGATTCTCGCTAAATCTCGCTAAGTCCGACACCACGGAATTGTTGGAATTGGAAGGCACCTTCTAGAGATCACCTAGTCCACGCTACTAAAGGATGCTTTCTGTATGGCGTTATGAGAGAAAGAAGCTTGTATTGGAAAGCCAAGTGTTGCTTTAACCACAAAAGAAAGCAAAATTTGGTTTTGCTGATGGTTCTGAACGTAATTCCAGTTGCAGAAGTATGGACACCTGTATACGTGTGTGTAAGTTGTGTATAATGGATTTGAAGATGCAAGTATAAAAGTCTTAAAATATTTAGAGAGTTTGTACTACTAGATTTCTATCTTCAGTAGGCAAGCTTAAATGGACTGCTAATAAATAAAAATGCAAAGGGGTGTGCATGACAAAGAAACATGAACTGAAACTAGCAGAAGATTGAACTGGGAAGGGGATGGAGAATGAAATACTGTTCCATTCTGATACACTCTCAGGAAAGCTTGACTTGATGTATGCGGGTGCTAATTAACTAAGGTAGCTCTTTGTAGCGAGTCTTTGCTTCAGTGAGAAAATTATTGCTTATATTTGCCATCTGATTAGGCAGAAATATTTTTAGGTGAGATTTCTTGAATGCATTAAAGAAAATGAAAGAAAAGAAAATGGATTAACTGGGATCTTAATATAGTAACAAGTATGCAGGGCAATGAATTTTATGATTTAATAACTTCTGACCATTTTGTAGACTGTAAATAAAGGTGCCTGCTATCTTAACACCGCAGAGACTTTGCAGGAAAACCTGATAATTATTGTTAGTTTTCTTTTGAAGGTTTCCTTAGCTTTGACAGGTGTGTATGTGGATAAAGAGCATATAAGCTAAAAATAAAAACCTGTGTGTAGTTCCGTTCCTTCTGCAATTGCCCAAGTATTTGCAGTTCGAAGTATCAACCTTTTATGACTCCTTGGATCACTGCTGCCGCTGCAGGACCTCAGCTGATAAACTCAGGCTAAGATGGTATCTTATGCAAATACCATTAGCGGTGTTTTCCCACAATTGTCACAGCTCGTATTCAAAGAAATGTGTTGATGCTTAAAATGCTTTCATACTGCAAATGAATAAAACGTAAGCTAAGCTTGAAAAATTACACAGCAGATTGTTTGGATGTCTGATAAAGTCTGAAGGTCTGTCTTTTGGTTCAAACAGAATGGTCAAATCATCACTTTAAAGAAAAAATATGTAATTGTCTAGGGAACACAGGAATTAAATACACAAGACTCAATGAGGAGTTATCTGGAATGTGTGTGTTTGGTTTTTTTTCACTCGAATCTGTAGTTAAACAGATAGGGAAGACGGGAATGTCTGTTCTAGTAGTAGCAATCATTGTGGTTACTTAATTACTAGAGCTGAATACTCCTTTGTGCTACAAATGAGAATCTCTCTCTGGGTCCAGAGGATGCTATACTACTACTTAGGAAAAAGTTAAAAATCAACAAGACTTGATCTGTTAGATCAAACATATAGATGTGGTTGCTAAATTTGAATACATTAACATTACACTGCTGTTACACATGAAATTTGGATGCTGGTAATTACAGTATATTTTAGTGTGCCCTTTATTATCTCTAATCTTCCTTTGATTATCTCTCATTATTGGCTTATGTAATTTCATTCTTTTTTTTTTATTTATTTGTTTGTTTTTTGTTTTTGTTTTTTTTTTTTACTCCCATGTCTTAGAACAGGTAAGGTGAATCTCAGCCCTACTTTGGGCTTTGTGTGGAAAGACGAGCTGATTCCAACCCGTATTCTGCAGTAGCCCAGAACCAAGATTCTCTGAAGTCATAGCAGTAGTTCTGAAAAATGTTCCTAGTGGGAATTCTGTGTGCTGATGTAGTCAGCCTTGGGGTGAAAAGAGAGAGCATGCCTGTATAGACAGAAATCACAAGTTTTTAAAAACATGTATGAAGGGTGTTCAGAATTAGAAGGGATGTAGGGTTTGTTTCAAGTATAGTATGGAGCTGGCATTTTCTTGCATTGTGGGGCACAGCTCCTCATGCATTAGAAATAGTAAACTGGATGAAAATTGATTATGATGGCGCTTGTTTGTTCTTGCTTTTTAATACCCCCAGCCTGTCTCAAACAAATATTGGCATAATCAAAAAGGAAGTGTCAGAAGTATTTTTAGCTATTGTGTATTTCCAAGTATTTTATTTCATACTTCTAATGAATATGGTGGAAGACCTCCTGCAATTCAACCAACCAAGTGTTAAATAGGCATATATATATTAGAAAAATCTTGCCTGTGCAAACACATTAATTAAATCTGCAAAGCATTTTATTTTAAGTAGACTTAGCAACTGAACTTGGCAATCTGTTTGGAAAGAAAAGTTAAATTATTTAAAATGTGCTTGGATTGTACATTTAGATGGCTGCTTCTTGACCCAGTGTAGTGTCTGCCAAATATTTAATTTTAGTTAATGATATCAGTATTCCTTGTTCTGTGTTGAATTTTAAAATGTCATTTTGTTTTTAGGATGCCGGGGGAACTCATCATAAAGTCTCTGTTTCTCCTGTTGTCCACGTCCGAGGGCTGTGTGAATCAGTTGTGGAAGCAGATCTTGTGGAAGCTCTTGAAAAGTTTGGAACCATATGGTACGTCAAGCAGTATAAAGTCATGTCTCTGGACAAGTTAGAAACGTTATTTAAAAGTCTCTTGGACCCCTTTAAATAGTTATGATAGCCGTTTGAAATCTAGAACGTAGTTAATGTTAAAGCATATGGTTTTGAATGGGAGGAGTGCTTGTGAGATACATGGAGGACCTTCAGAGTGAGATGGTTATTCAGAGAAAGCCCCTACGAAGGTTATATAGCCTGAAGATTCCTCTTCTGTGAACAGATAGTAAAGGTGTCTGGGTAGCAAGCTTATTCTGAGTTTTGAGTGCTTCTGTTTGGAAACATGTTTCTTTTAAAGTAAGTGCATGTATTGAAGTAAAATAGGGTTTTGTAAATTAATCAGCTGACAAAGCTTCTTGAGTTTATCTGTGTCTGGATTTGGTTAACTGGAATACTTCTGTTTATTTCCTCTAAGGTAGTTTTATGTCAAAAAGTATTTTAAATTTCTAAGCAACATCTGTTACTAAAGATGTTTAATATATCGACTTCGTGTGTTATAATTTGCATTTTCTTTGATCCTTTCCCCCATAATTCGCTTTAGCAAGTTTTTTGTATTACTAATTGTAGTTCTAGTAAGTTAGTAAATTATTAACTGTTTCTTGTATTGGTTAAATGGTTTTATGCATTAAATCTTTTCAGGAAAACAACAACTTACTACTTAATTATCTTATAGCTGCATTTCTTTGTTTTGTACAAATGCTCTAGAAATGTGTTGACCAGGTTTGGGAATCGTGAGCAGGGAGACCTACGTTTCTTTTATGGCCTTGTTAGGAATTGTTTAGAAAAAACAGATCATCTATGACAGTTACAGGACTTTTGAGTTGTTCTAAGTTAAGCATATAGGAAAGCTTACTGTAATGTTTTTCTCACCAGCTATGTCATGATGATGCCATTTAAGCGCCAAGCTCTGGTGGAGTTTGAAAATGTAGAAAGTGCAAAGAAATGTGTAACGTTTGCTGCAGATGAACCTGTATACATTGCTGGACAGCAAGCCTTTTTCAACTACTCAACAAGTAAGAGGATTACTCGGCCAGGGAACACTGATGACCCATCTGGTGGAAATAAAGTTCTCCTCTTGTCAATTCAGAATCCTCTCTACCCAATTACAGTGGTATGTTTCTTCTTTTTTTTTTTTTTAATTAAACTAATAAAAGGCAGGGAGCAGCAATTTCTGTTACATTACTTCCATTGTGTAGTATTTGTTAAAATTGTACGCTGTTAATTTGAGTCAGGAATTAAATTCACCTACCAAAGCTTCCCACCATCTTCACCTAAGTAACATGCATGTTATGAAAAAAAAAAAGGACTTTCGAGATGGTCCAGTCTTGTTGTACAGCTATTTTGCAATAGGCTTGAACATTTCAGTGGTCAGGATTTTGAAATTTTCTGTGTAATCGACTGTTTTTTGAGATCTTCCTTGCCCCACATCAGAAGTCTGACCTGATGTGCAGTACTTCTCTCAGTACTTTCCAGTACCTGATGTGTGGTACAGTGAGCTTTTCTCCTTACCGCTTTGTTCCCATGCGGCTCTGAAGGTGATCTTGAATTTGATTGGTTCCTTGTAATATAGACAAATGCTGGTGAAATGGTGTTAACAATGAGTTTGCATGAATCCAGTGTTTCCTGTCAGAAGTTTTCTCTGCCTTAAGTGGAGAAGCACAGCAACCACTTGCAGTGCCTTTGATTCAGGTGAATACTGTTGAAATTCTCCTTTTGATCAGCTACCTAAGCTTACGTCATGGACTACCCCTGGTTACTCTGCTGAGAATGGATGTGAACAATTAAAAAACCCTCAGCTGCTAGAGTCTTACGAAATAAAATATGCTATAACTACAGTGTGGCTTTGATATAACTACTACAGTGCATGCTTAGAAGTTTGGGGTTTTTTTAACTGGGTTTTAATACAGTTGAAGGTACTTGTTAAACTAACTAATGTTTGTGTGGGTACTTCTTATAGAAGTTTTTTCCTGTTTTTCAGATTTGACTGCCTGCATTATATTAATCCATATAAATGCTAATCATGAATGTATAAACTGTATAGGAAAAATTATAAGTGACAAGCTAATAAGGCTTTGCTCTTGGCATTTAAATGTCAATGCAAGAAAATGTTCTCTGAACCTAAAGAGTTTGAAATTTCACATCTGAATAAAATACTTTCTTTCTTCTTCCTTAGGATGTCTTGTATACTGTGTGCAACCCTGTGGGAAAAGTTCAGCGCATTGTTATATTCAAGAGAAATGGAATACAAGCAATGGTTGAATATCCTTTTTTAGTGTGATTTTTTTTTTTAATTTTTTTTTTTTTTGTTTTTTTTTTTTTTTTTTTTTTTTTTTTTTTTTGACTGAAGATGGGATTTAACATAAGAGTGTCAGGAAAATACTGTGTAACTTTGAGACCAAATTATTTTTTAATTTCTGTCTAAGACGTCATAATTTCTATATGTCTTTAAGACATATAAACATTAATAGCACTTAAACATTGCATTTTTATAGGAAAATGATATTGTCAACAACGGTCTTGATAACAAAGTGTATAGGCAGTCCTAAGGCTAATAATTGCGTACATTAAATGTCATAGATTTGACAACACGTTACACACAGAAGTTTCATGGCTTTTGCTTGTGTTGATGCTCAAGTAATGGGTAAGGGCTTGCAGAGGTGCAGTTTTACTTCTTCAGACTCTTCTAAAATAGCTCCAATATATACCACTTGTCTTACTATTCTGACTTCAGTAAAGCACAAGACCAGCTTGATCCTCCTTGACCTGTTTATCACGTTGAGGAAATTCCCTGCTCTGTTATCCTACTGTTTACTGTATTTGTAGCATTAAGTTGTACGTGGGATGAACGTTCAGAGTTGTTGATGGGTTACTGTGGTTTGCAAAGTCCAAAGTCTGATATGATAATGCCTGATTTCATAAAATTCTGATAGCCCTCTCCTAGAAACTGATTACCCTCCATTTCTGAGGTGTTATCTAGACAAAATTGTACCAAAATCTCAGAAATTTTTCTGTGATTTCAGGTGCTACCGATGTGGCAGGCTTCATTATGGGTCACTTCTGTAACATATGACTCACTGGTGGCTGCATTGATGATTTGCCACACAAAAAGAATTACACAAAAAGAATAGTAACTTCCATCAAAGCAGACTAGTTGCTGTTCATCTGTGTTGAAGGGTTAAACTGTATGTCCTAACAGACAGTAGGTTGCCTTACCTATGATAGTGTGGTGAGTTTGTGGTAAGCGATGGTGTCTGGATCAGATGACTTGTACACTTGGGGGTTATTCTGTGTCTTGTGAAAGATAAGGGAAGTTGTGAAATTTACTCAAATTCTAATGATAATTGCAGTAACTATTACTTTTGCAGATATGCTCCCACAGTTCTAGCCAGTGTCAAACAGTTTCTTAGAGGTCTAGGAAGCTTAACTATTTTCACTTTTAAATTCTACAGTGAACCTCTGTGAACTTGGAAGAACGACTTCCAAATTTCACTAAATTATATCAAACGATGGCACAAAATGTCTGGTCGTCTCCAAGGTTCAGGCTTTCTGACACCGTATGTCACTGAGTATGTATGAGATCATGGGTTGCCCTCTGCCAAGGCTCAGGTATATTTTTCTGCTAGTCGTGGAACTCCTCTTGAAGTATGCAGAGGATATGAAATAATCTACATGTTGGAGCCAGGTACATGCATCTGCCTTGAGCAGTGCACTTAAAGCATCTGCTTGTTGTATTTTTTGATGCAAGATAATTATAGGTTCACACAAGCTCGCTCTCTTACTTCTGTGGTTTGGCTACCAAGCTAAAAAGGCATACTCTTTCTTAGTTCTTTTTGCTTTAAGATAACTACTGAGTTCATGTTCTCCCTACCCACAAGTCCCCAGTGAATGCTAGCTGTGAGAAGGGATGCATTGTCTTAAGTCACTCCTCCTCACCCCGAGCTCTGATCCCTTCCCAAATGATGCAACTTCAACTTTCCCTTCAAATGTTCTCTAGATTTGCTGGTGGCTTTGTATGTCCTCTGAAAATTACTAAATCCACCAGAATATCCCCTTCCAAACGGATAAGTTCAGACCATAAACAAAGCTTGCATCTATGATCCACCCTGAAGACTTTACTAGTTTATCACAGAATCTTCTAGGTTGGAAGGGACCTCAGAGATCATCTTGTCCAACCGTCAACCTAATTTTGACAAAAATAAACACCCACACAACAAACAAAAAGCAACACCATCACTAAACCATATTTCCCAGCACTACATCAACCCATCTTTTGAACACCTCCAGGCCTCAACCACCTCCCTGGGTAGCCCATCCCAATGCCTGATAACCCTTTTGGTGAAAAAATTTTTCCTAATATGCAGCCTGAACCTCCCCTGGCGTAACTTGAGGCCATTTCCTCTCGTCCTGTTGCCTGTGACTTGAGAGAAGAGACCAACCCCCATCTCTCTACACCCTCCTTTCAGGCAGTTGTAGAGAGCAATAAGGTCTCCCCTCAGTCTCCTTTTCTCCAGGCTGAACACCCCCAGCTCCCTCAGCCTCTCCTCATGAGACTTTTGCTCCAGACCCCTCACCATCTTTATTGATCTTCTCTGGACCCGCTCCAGCTCCTCGATGTTGTTTTTTTTTTTTATGGTAGGGAGCCCAAAACTGGACTCCCACACTTATGAATGGTCTCATAACGTGCTGCTTACATCTCAAAAAAACGTATGCTTTACAGAAGTTGAACCCATATACACTTGTTGGTAGTTTTATATAATGTCTGTATAGAGTTCTTGTAAGGTGTACAATAGTGAAGTATCTACAGGCTACAAAAATAGTCATATCTGAAGAAAGGGACATGAAGATCCTTAACGTGATATGTATGTTTGAATCGGTGTTTTGTGCCCAGAAGGCAAAGGCTGCACTCAATGGAGCAGATATCTATGCAGGATGCTGCACACTAAAAATTGAATATGCAAGGGTAATGCTTGGACTTTCTCTTTTCATTTTACTAGAAAAATATATGTAATCAAGACCTAACCTTTTTCACTTCTGTTTGAACAGCCAACTCGACTTAATGTCATTAGAAACGACAACGATAGTTGGGACTACACTAAACCGTATCTGGGCCGACGAGGTAGGTTTTCGTACGTTCTCGCTGTAGATGTTTGACTGTACTAATGCCAGTCCATGCCAGTAGTAATTTCAAAGCACGGCAGTGCTGCTGAGGGCTGTGTTCACCAGCCAGGACATTAACCCTGAGCCCTAGTGCCCCCTACTGCCGTGTGCTTGAGCCACTTAGTTCAACAAGGAGCCCACACCTGCAAGCACCTTCGCAGTTCTCAAGGACTTGCATTTCTCCAAGCAGCTCTCTCTCTTTGGAGGAGAGGAAACCTGGCACAGACTATTCCTTACAAACTACAAACTTGCACACTGCTTCTCCTTCGAAAGGACTCTTTTCCCCTATGTTGGACGAGGCATTAAGAAGGATAGAGGACTTCAGCAGGCTGACTCTACACTTCATCATGCACCACATCGGCATCAGCAAAAAAACCCAAACAAACAAATAAACAAAAAACCCTCTGAAAAAAAACCTCAGACTTGCAATTCACCATGTCTGCATACTGCATGCACCACCACCACAAGTTTTTAAAGGAGGACACTTTTCAGTACTTCAGATTTGTGTGGGATGGATAACATGATAGACTGTACTCATTCTGTTCAAGTTTGGATGTATGCTGATCTTATTTCCCTTAAAATTACAAGTGAAAAATTGAGAACCTCCAAAATTAAGAACCTCTCTTGTTGATATCATCGACGTTGTAATCTTTTTATTACATGCTGTATGTGAGAGCTGGATTCAGTCTTAGTGTAAATATTGTCTAGTAGTAGGGAAATTTAGTCCTTATCTGTAGATAGTTGGAACTGAGCAGTGCAATATCAGATAGGTCCCCTCAGTTATATTTAAGTATTAAAATAGGGAGATTCATAGTTGGTACAGGCATACTGTCTTTTAAGTACTCAGCTGTAAAAACTACCAGAGCTTAACTCGTGTCAGTGGAAACTATGACTTTATATGTAAAGACAAACTGCTGTGTAGCCTAACTCCTGTGAAGTGTTTATTTAAAAAATATATATATATATCTGTAACAATTATTGAGTGCAGTGTTCAGTAACTTATGTACAATAATGTGTGCCATGTAAAGTTAGAAAAGTGATGACAACATGTCCAAGATAAGTAGATACTCTATCAAAAGGTTTATGAGAATCAGGGCTTTGGCCGTCTCGAATGATACGCACTTTCAGAGTAATTCTGCAGAGACGCTGGACTTATAAAACTGTTGTACAACTAAAAATTTAGGGCTTGAATTTTCAAAATGAAGTTCTTGTAAAAAGTTAACAAGGGAGCTACAGTGCTGGTTGTAGCATGTAGATTATGACTATTTGTATCAAATTTTTTTTCCTCAAATTCCTGAGTTAAAAATGGGGTTTTTGAAGAAACTCAAGGGCAAGAAAAAACCCTGAAGGATTAATGTGACCCTCGTATCTTTTGGTCATTGCAGTGTTTGGAGGCTGACTTGTAACGTTGTGCATCTAATTACATTATGTAATTGGTGCACAGATAGATATGGCTCTATGAACTAAGTGTTCCTCAGGTCAGAGATAACAGTGGAAAATGAAAAATGAGGATAGGTACAGCTCATTCTTTCTCAAGAACTCTCACTCTTTTGTTTTCCTTTTGTTACTTTGACAGCCTGTCTTTATTTCCTACATCACTCTACTACACATAAGAAGAAAATAATTGGACTTATATTATAGCATGATATATAGATACTGTATATAGCATGATTTTTCATTTACTGTGGCCCCCATCCCTTTATCTAGAAAATGGGAATATAAATTGTTGAATGAACACTGAAATGTACTTCAGAAAGCAGGCATCTCAAACAACTTTGCCCAGAAAGTAACCCGGGACTTTTTTCTTCCCCTTGCAGCAGTGTTGTTTGGCTTTTGAACGTAATGTGACCCAAACTGTAGGGTCTGACTGCAGCAAACAAGATACTAGCCCAAAGGAATTTCATTCTGAGGACAGGCATGCTAATACCTCCTCTCAGAATTTCCTCCCTCCCGCAAATCTTAGGAAGGAAATGCATTTTTCTAATGATTTCCTTTTTTTTTTTTTTTTTTTTTTTTTTTTTTAAAAAAAAAGAACTAATTTTAGTTCTTTGTGGTAACAAATTACAGATTTTCTCATGGTATTTCTCCACTTCAGTAAACTTCCTAACAAGTGCTTGCTTCTGTGAATTGATACTGCATTAAATTGAACTGGGAAAAACCACCTACCTCATAGAACTCTGTGCTTTTAGCCACTGAGCTCCGGCTGTGCTTTGGTGGTAATACCAACATAGGCAGTGACTCAAAGACCTGATTTAAAAACAAACCCAGAATGCAAAGAACCCAAAACTTAAACTAGATTGTAAAGGATCTTTTCATTCAGAATTAGTTTTAACGCAGAATCAGTTATCATGTTTCAGAGCCTGTTTACACAAGTGTTTGTACTGGCACGGTTGAGGGACTTTGTTCAAGAAAGACACAAGAATGGGGCAGAGAGAGAGCAGTGGACTACACCATCATGAGGAGGAAATGTCTGTCAAACTATGTTCTCCCAGAATCCTTTATTTGAAGAATATGGTCCTTTACTGTATTACTGTGTGCAGTTTCAAAGGATTTAGCTCCATAGACTAGAACTATTAACTTAATTTTCCTGAAAGATGATTACTGCATACAGTACAAATGTTTAAAATACTTAATATGACCACCCATTTGCTTTCTAGGGCCAAGAATCAGAGCTGTTACCCTGAAAAGGGAATGGAAAAACAAAAGTTCATTAAAGTAATCTTTCTTCTATATATTTGAAGGCATTCAGCACTGTTCTCTCTTCAGGCTTTATTGGCAAAGTAAATACCTGACTTGGAACCTGTCCTCAAAATCCTGAGCAGAAAGGGCACATGTGTTTTCATCTCCCACTGTTGTGTCATCTAATGCAAATAGTCCCTGTTTTTTCAGGGGAAATACCTCTGGCTGCATGGGGCTGGAGTTGCTCTTTTCAGCAGCCATACGTAAATTTCCTGGGAACTGTTGTAAACTGATAAATTGTCTTGCCCTATCTTTTCAACATGGCTTTTTTATTTGTGAGAAATCAATTGTTTAACACAAAGAAATCTGGAAGTTTAGATTTCCTTTGTCATACAGCATGGATCTGATTAGAAAATACAGCTTTGGCTGTGGTGCACTGCTTCCCTCCAGTAATGTAGACCCCTTGCTTAACTTTATATCCTAGACAACTGGGTTTTCTTAAAGGATTGACCATTGTTTTAGTGCATTACTCAGTGATGGTTTTCTTCAGTTGAACTGTAAATGTGCTGCTGATAATGCAATAATGTACAATCCTTTCAGCATGCCCATAAATCATTAGGTGTTCTGTAATTATATATGTACGCACATGTAATGCTCTCTGTTTACTGATTATGAAACCATGTAATACAGGTTGTTGTTGGCTTATGCTGAAACTTCTTGAAAGAAGCCCACTTTGAAAATGTGTTGCTGTTGAAGCTAATATTATGATTCAGGTACTGTCTTTCAAAAGTACTGCATTTCAAATTTGTTTTAAGAGACACATAGGTAAATCCTGCTGTATGGTGTTATCTATGCTAAGGTGTGGTGTCTGTTTAGGAAAACTATTGGGTATTTCCATAAACTTTAAATGTCTGCATCTCCTCATTGGCCACTGTCCCCAATCAGCTTTAATGCAATTTGTTATACAGATGGCAGTCTTTTAATTTTGGTGCCCCAGGGCTACAGCTTGTGGTTTTAGACATATAATGAAGGAGAAGTCATTTATAAAATTAACAAGGACTCAAATTACATTTTTGCTTCTTAACTAGAAGCTTTGTGTCTTAACTGAAGAAGTCAAGTGTGTAGTTGTGCTTTACTAAACTCTTTTCTTTCCCTTCCCACATGTTAGACAGAGGGAAGGGCCGCCAGAGGCAAGCTATTTTGGGAGAGCACCCATCATCGTTTAGACATGATGGTTATGGTAAGTAACATAATGATGACAGGTTATGATTTCTGTATATGTTACATGAAATTCTAAATATTCAGTCAGTTCTTAACTGTGGACTCCTAATTGTGCTGTATGTGTGGCGCTGTCAGTCCACGTTCTGAAAATGCGAGTGATATACTGAAATCTGTGTGCATTTATTGCCACACCTCTTTCATGGAGAGCATCTGGCTCTACAAATTTATTCCTTGGTAGAATGTTTTCCTTTCTTTTCACCCTAGAAATGGATGGAAAATGACTTCTGTAATAGAAAAGCAGTTTTTTTTTCTAGAAAATGGCAACGTAGCTTGATGGATGGTTTGATGCAACACAGAGCTTTGATGTTCTTGCATGCAAAGCTGTGAATCGTAGCCTTTGCATTTCTTCTAATTTAGCTAATTCTGAAAAGGTGTAGCTATGTGACTGTATAGGAGTGATGTTTTGCAATTAGTGCTCTAAACTGCTGCAGTTGTTCCCAGTGCTATCTGTAAATGAAGGTCTGCTGTCACTTTCATGTGTTGGACCAAGACCTCAGGACTGGGAATCTGATGTCCCCAGTTAGATGTGACTTTTCTAGTTATTTACTCTCTTAACTCTCAGATTTGTGTTGCAGTGTGATTTGTCTTGCCTCTTTATTTGCAAATGTACTTATGGTATTTTACAATGTAGGTTGACCTTCTACCTACTTTTTCCAAAGGTTCTTCAAATCTCCAGAATTTCCAAGTTTCACCTTGTATTCACTGTTGTTCTTTTTTCATTCTTCTGATACACCCTTCTAGACTTGCCTAACAAGGCACTCTCCTCCTATTCAACTGTCTCTCTCTCATTACTGCTTTTTGCTGGGGGGGGAAAGGAACAAAAAGTTCCTTTTATACTTGGCTTATGTGAATTTCACATTATTTTTGTCTCAGTGAAAAGGGATCTTCTCCTTGGTCTATGATACTGATGTTTTTTATAAACAGAAGTATTGCGTACTAGTAATGTCTCTTAATTAAAACAGAAAACAAACAAAACAAAAAAAGAAATTGTTTATTTCAGTGAAACTTGTCACCTTACCTGTGGAAAATGGGACAGCTTCATTTTGCATTAATGCAGTGTTTAAGTATTCCTGTTTCTTCCAAATGAGTGGTTTTTAGAAAGGCAGTTTTTTGACTTAATCTCTTGTTTCTGGAAAAGAGCCATGTCTTCTCTCCTGACCTCTGGCTAAAAGTTCACTCCTTTTGGTTTGTGTTCCCTACTTTGTAATATTCTTTCTTGGTGTCATGTAGCTCTCTAAGTAGACACTGTGATATTGCTGAAAGTTTATTTTAAGGTTCTGATAGGTTTATGTTCAAATATTTTGTATGGTGCAGGGAAGGTACTATTTTTTTAATTACTGAAATACCTTTTTTTCTCTTGTGTGTAAAAACAATACCCTGAAACAGCTCCTTCTTGTGTGGTAATGTAAGAAAAGACTTGCAACGTTAAAGGGAATAGAAGAGGTTTTATTGATTGCGGGGTTTGGGGGTGTTTGGTTTGTTTGGGGATTTTTTGTGTGGTGTGGTGGGGTTTTTTGATTTTGGTTTTTTTTTCCTTTTTTTTTTTTTTAATTTGAAAAAGAATTATTGGAAACTGCTGTAACATCCACCTTCACCCCCCTGAAGATATGCACTATATGTATGGGCCTTAATGTATGATTATGTTGTGAAACTTGTTTCAAACAATATGAAAGAATGGTCTTTCATCTCCTTAGGGTCACACGGTCCTTTGTTGCCCTTGCCGAGCCGGTACCGAATGGGATCTCGGGACACTCCAGAACTTGTTGCTTATCCGTTGCCCCAGGCATCCTCCTCTTACATGCATGGTGGAAATCCCTCTGGGTCAGTTGTCATGGTTAGTGGGTTGCATCAGCTAAAGATGAACTGTTCGAGGGTCTTCAACCTGTTCTGCTTGTATGGAAACATTGAGAAGGTAAGGCATTATTTATTAGAAACTTGGAAACTACTATAGTCATTTTAATTGTTTTGGAAAAAACCTGGCTGAGATAGTCTGAAGATATGTCCATATAACCTATAAAACTCTTGGTTGGTCTGTTTGTTGCAATGTCATTTTTTTCCCTTATCTCTCTTAGGTGAAATTTATGAAGACTATTCCAGGCACGGCACTGGTTGAAATGGGTGATGAGTATGCTGTGGAAAGAGCTGTCACACATCTCAACAATGTCAAGCTATTTGGAAAGAGACTTAATGTCTGGTAAGTATGTTTTATCGGATTAGTAGTCTACCAGTGCGCAGATGGAATAAATTTGCAAATGGACAGTATCACATTTTTTTGTTATCATTGTTGGAGTTATGATTTCCAATTAGCACCTATTATTTATTTATTGCTATTTATACTTTTAGTATTTTACTTGTATTAATGAAGCATATGGGCATTACATGGATTGGCTGTTAATGTACTGTATTCTGTAATGTGTCTTATCCATCCTTTCTACTTCTTTTTTTTTTTTTTTTAAGGAAGGTGTTAGAAGAGCAAGATGGGTTGGATTTGTTTCAAATTGTTGTAAAGAAATGTCAGCTCTGTTTTGATTAGAGTAATAATCTGTGTGCAAAGTATGCCAGTCTTAGTAATTTTAGAAACTTTAACTATATATGTATATATATTCTTAAATCCCAGTGTTTCCAAGCAGCATTCAGTAGTTCCAAGCCAGATATTTGAACTGGAGGATGGCACGAGTAGTTACAAGGATTTTGCAATGAGTAAGAATAATCGCTTCACCAGTGCTGGCCAAGCATCAAAGAACATCATCCAACCACCCTCTTGTGTGCTGCATTACTACAACGTTCCCCTGTGTGTCACTGAAGAAACATTTGTAAAGGTAGGCAGTTGAAATGACTGTGACACATAGTGCTTCAGGGCTCTGTGCTGGCTTCACACTCTGCTACTTTTAAAAAGAAATAACTGGGGTAGTTACAGCACAGGGACTGGAAGAGAACTGTTTTTTAAAATAAGTTTGTAGCCTCTCTATATGGAGAGCTGGTATATTTTCACAATCCTGGCATTATTATCTCATTTTTTATTTATTTATTTTTATGTGAGAAACAAGAAGCTGGAAATAAAGTTGAGAAGCTTAATGTGTTACTTGTGGAGGAAGGGGAAAAGACTTGCACAAAGCCAAATACACAGAAAGTTAAAACTACAATTCACAATAGATCTACTGACTCCCTGAAATGGTTCCTCTAATGACTGCCAGAATGTCATTCACCTGGAATAGTTTGCACAGTTGAGTCCTAAATCAACTCTGGATGCTTAATTAAAACATGCAATACTGGGACTGTCAAGCAGAGGCAGTGGTGAAACTTCAATGAGTTCTTTTTCAGTTCAATAAATTTGTTTATTTGTTGTTTTTTTTTTTTCAAAAAGTCAACACTGGTTCATGAGTGGTGTACTTGTATGTACAACTTCTGAGCTACTATATGGAAGTGGGAATGTCAAAAAGAACTTGTTTTTATTTAAATGTTGTTTGAGGTAGTAGTGATACTGGTATTCTAACAATTTTTGTGCCTATGCAGTCATATTTATCATTGGACAGAACAGGTATAGGAGCCTTGTTTTGCATACTATCCAATGATATTTTAAAGAGTTACCAATCTAAATATATTTTTTAAATAATAATTTGCCATAAAGTCTTGGAATCTCTCTTAAAGAGTTAGTATTTCCCTTTTTGTGTGTCTCTTCTAGGAACTTGGAATTCTTGCTAACGTGTTTATGTACATTTTTACTGGTTTTACCTCTTACTTTATTTTTGTGACAGTTATGTGAGGATCATGAAGTTCTCAGCTTTATTAAATACAAAGTGTTTGATCCAAAACGTAAGTAAACTTGAACTTTTTGGGTAGTTACTTGAATTCCAGTTTTGATAAGAGCATACACTGTCAGTAGATGTTACTGATCCCCTCCTTCCTTTTTTACTTTCTCTTTTTGACAGCTTCTGCCAAAACACTGTCTGGTCTGTTGGAATGGGAATGTAAGACAGATGCAGTGGAAGCTCTCACTGTACTTAATCACTACCAGATAAGAGTCCCAAGTAAGTAGATTTTACTGGTGTGACTGCTATACTATTTTTTTTTTCTTTTTTTTTTCATTCATGTTGATGTTGGTTTTGTAAAAGGTGAGGCTTCAGCAGCTCAGTCTGCAGCTAAAAACTGCATCATTCTTATTTTATATATATATGCTGTATTTTACATAAATATACACGTATACCATAGTATACATATTGCAGGATACAAATAGTATATATATTACAGTATTTAAACTCTAGTTTAGGTTCCATTAGTTTCTATCTAAATGGCACTCTTAGTTTTTGAGTTAAGCTATAGAACTCAAAATGCGCTCTGTGACTTTGAAGTTAGAGAACGATGCTGGGGTGGGAGATGGTTTGGGACAGAAAGAAGGCAGGCAGGAAAAGCATTAAAATCCACTGTCATCAAAATAAATATCTAAGGATAATGACTTACTGAAGCTTTTTATGTCTTTCACAATAAATGCAGAGAAATATGCAATATCTTTGGGCAGAAGATTCTTTAAGTTACCCAGCTTATCTGCTCCTGTAGTGGATTCTCTTTCAAATCAGAAGTTGTGAGGCCAAACTGAATTTAGCTTCAAACTAATAAGAATGGAGAGGGCTAAACAAGTACCTAATAGGCCAGATCTGCATTGGACAATTGAGATAGTTTACTGGATTAAGGGCAGTTTTTCCTGGGTGTTCACAGATATACCTTTGAATCCAGCCCAATGTCTAATACTGTTTTAAACTCCCTTCTCCAAACTGCTATGAAGTGATCTCCCTGTCAAGTGTTTAAATCTTTCCTATGCATGCCCTCACCCCTTTGGTCCACCTTCTCAATAATGGACTGAGATTACTTCAGAGGCAGAGTATTTTTCAAGGTATTATTTATAACAGACTGTTCACAATTTCAGACTTATCTCAGTTTGGAGAGGTGATAATAGCAGAAGAACTTACTCTTTCAACAGTAAAAAGGCAAACCCTAATGTACAATCATTACTTTTGTAAGTAGTTCAGCTAGGAGAAGGGGCAGTGATAATGGTAAAGCCTTTCTTGTGTGTGGTACAGCATTTGGAATTCTACCTGCGTGCCCTTGTGACCAGATCCAGCGCTTTGTTTTTATGTCTAAAAAATGCTGGTAGGCTACAATAACACCTACTTACAGATCATCTAGTGTCTGCAGGCCACAGGCGGGGGTAGCTGGGGAGGTGTGAACCTTAAGATGTACAGAATTTGTAAACTTGTCAGATTATGCGAGGCAGTTTTGATCAGCAGGAGAGCTATGCTGGGTAAAATGCCCTGAGTATGTTATATGTTGTCTCCTGACAGATGGCTCCAACCCCTATACCTTGAAGCTTTGCTTCTCTACTTCATCCCATTTGTAGAGAAGAGGACAGCATGTTAAGAGCTACGTTCACCTTGATTTGCAAGTTTAAAACTAGACTTCGTTCACAAAGCTCTAAAGTGGTTGTTCTAATGTTGCCTTGTTTCAACTTAATTCTAATATCTTTTATCTTGTTTTATAATAAATGGATGTTCCTTCATAAATACAAACCAGGTTTTTTCTTTTTGCCTCTGAGAAGTACATGTTGTAAGCTTACTACAAAGTTTGTATTTTGTTAGTGTAGTATCTACGAATGTTGGAAGAAGCACCAGTAGTAAAAACAAGATCATTTTCTTTCAAAAATGAAATATATTTGCATTTTCGATAATGTTAAAGATTAGCAAGTATTTTTCCATTTGTAGTGTTAATTGGCAGATAGTTCTCTATTACATCAGAATTTTAAATGTAGAACTTGTTTTTTTCAGTATGTTAAGTAGTGAAGTATGTTGCAATACTAAGCTTGTATTTATAAAATGCTTTAATCAAGTTAATGTTGCACATACCAGAGTTTTAGTACTATAGATTTGATTTATAGTTCAAACAAAGCTAACGTAGAAACTTGTTAAGTATGCTCATGTGTATGGTGTGAATTCATACTTATTTAAAGTGGTTTTGGTTTTTTTAACAACTACTTTCCATTTGCATTAGCATGATGCCATCTATAGCTAGTCCCACCGTAGGGGCCTTTTAAAAATTAAAATTGCAAGCCTGTATCAATGTGTTCATCCTCATTTTCCATAATTTAAACTTAAATCTTTGTTGTTTAGCATATCCTCTTGATTTATTTTTTTTTTTAATAGTGGTTATGACATACTAAATGGTGAAAGTTGGATATGCAAGAAGATTGATCACAATAGAAACCAAGGTGGTACAAACAGTTAAAACAAAAAGCAAGCCTCACCATATTCTCTCATACCCGGACAGTTAAGGCAATGTTTTCTTTTGTCTGATTTATCTTATACTTATGTTATGACCATGAAAGGATTCATGGGGTGAACAGATTTGGCTAGTCTCTCACTTAACCGGAGGTAATCCAGGTGGGATTCAGATAATGTTACTAATTACATGATGTGAAATTAATGAGGCAAGAAATCTTTCACTTTGGTGAAGGTGATTTGTTTTGTCCCAGTACTTTGTAACCTCTGTTCTCTCTTCTAGAACTGGAGTTGTGTCTTACTTGGGTTAAACCCTCAGGAATGGGAATCCAAGTGGGGAAGTCTGGGAGCTCTTGTCCTGGGCTCGGTGCTTGTTCCTCATTCTGCATTTGCAGCTTCTTTTAGTTCTGCTCTTAGTGACCAGAGATAATTTATTTTAATCAGATATTTTATGGTTTTGTCATACAAGTTCTTTGTTCTGTCTTTACAGATTTTATCCATGTCCATCCTTTCTGCAGGATTGATTGTGCAGTATTCTTGTCCTAGAGAGATTCAGTTGCTGTATGTTTACAGACTGGGGGCATTGCACATGCCTTTAAATACAAACTGGATTTTCCTCATTATTAATTTCGAGGCAAATGCACCTTATCACAGAAGGGGAAAAGTGTCAGCTGTCCTTCAGGTTTTCTCATCAACAATGATTAATTTTTGCCCTGTCTACTTCCATATTGTATTTTTTTTTCACGCTTCAGGTAATGCGTGTTTCAGGTATTCAATTTGGGCTGCTTACCTGTCTCAACTGGGAACTGAAGGACAGCAGCTCATTGGCAGCCCTTTCTGTACAGGATTTGGAGTAATATTACCCTCTGGTCTGGCTGGTGGCAAACTGAGTTGCATTTTCAGGGCACTGCTAATACTCCTTCAGCCCCAGTGCTTTTCCCCCAGAAGTTGCTTCTGTAGAACTCCAGCATAGGAGGCTATGTGCTGTATCTCGCTACTGGCCAGCAGAAATGCTGGGTACTGCTGAAGTGTCCTGTGCTGCCTGTTGTTTTAACTGTAAAAGGTCTCTCCCAGACTTTCATTTCTCTTCCATCACCTTAAATGTTCTGTGGAAACTTATTTCTTTTGCCATAGCTTGCATTGCTATTTGTATTAATGTAGTTTCAGAAGTCAAGTTTGTAGTTGAGCATTAAAAATAGTGTGTTACCTGTTGATCCAGTTTGGGATATAGGATGAGTGACCCTTAAAGCATTCAGGTTTCACAAAAAAAGAAGAAAAAAAAAAAAAAAAAGCAAGCACTTTAATGTTTCAGTGTCCTCTGTGGGTCACAGCATTCAGTGCCTAAGATGCTCAGGTGAAAGGCATCTTTCCTGTGGCTGCCCAGATCAGAGGACAGACTCATTCCAGGTTTATCTGAAAGGACTTGATACCAGCTGGAAGTCCTAAATGCAAAATGAGTAGCTTGTGCCACATGGGGAAGAAAAGAGACGAGACTGAAAAATTGATCAAATTTCTTTCTCCATAAAATAATCATCTTATCCATGTAAAAGTTGAGAACAGGAAAGATTCCTTGTTGATGTTTTGCTGAAAAAAAATAAAAAAGAAAAAAGGTCTTGGGCCTCCAAGGATGGATGCTTCCCCTCAGGGGGAATGAAATTGATCTCCTCCTTCCACAAGTGAGGTCTGTGTTCACCTATAATCTTGCTCTTTAGAACAGAGCAAAACCAGGGCAGGGCCAGGTGAAGAGTTTGTTTCTCCAAGGGGTTTCTCCAAGTGAAGTTTGTCTATAATTTGACAGTGGTATTACTATACTTGTTACATGAAAATTAAATCATTACAATCTCTCAGTGCATTTTTTTTCTGTCTCTTGCATAAGCCATACAAACAAAATAGTGAACATTGCTATGCACTTTCCCGGCTTGTAAGCAGCTGGCATTCACACTGTAATATCGTTGTCTCTATTCCACTGTTTGGGGGGTTTTTTGGTTGGTTTTTTTGTTTGTTTTGGTTTGGTTTTTTGGGTTTTGTTTAAAAAAAAAATTATTTTTTCTAATTTATCACTTTCCAGTGGAGGTGAATGAGATATTGAGGTGGATACGTGTTCATCTTCTCTCATGATATTCTAATCCTGGTTTATATTTATTTTTCCTTATATGCAGGAAGTGAGAATAGTTGCTTTTTGACTTCCTATACCACCACAGCAAGATAGAGTATATTGCTAGGGTGATATAAGAAAAGATTTAAAGAAACCATTCAGGAAGTGTTTGGGTGTCCTGGTTTATGAAAGGAATGATACAACTTAATGTGGTGTCGCTAAGTCTGCCTTCTAGTAAGGGGTAATGTTTGGGGTGAGCTGGTGTGTGACTGGCTGAAACCCTCTTTGTTGTAATTAAATGCAACTTGCTCCTTTTCCTGCTGTGTGTTTTTTTGTGAACAGCGCTTGAACTTGTTTCAATATTATGATGGCTTAGCAGGAGGTGTTCAGTCTCTTCTGTTAAATAATATGTCAAAGTCTGAGAACATGAACATGCTTAATTTTTATTTTTTTTCCCCATTTCCGGGATGTGTTTAAACATCTTTGGGATATTTTTTTTTTTCTGTCCTCATCTGAAAGTACATTGTATTCTCGCATCTGTAGCTACTAGTAGGTTTTTGAACCATTCCAGGTTTTTATGGCTACCTGGTCTATTCGTTTATTCCCTTCTGGCAATCGCAGAGGTGATAATCACCTCAAAAATAAATAACCTGGTTTGCATGGCCCCTTTGGCCACAAGCAGTGTGCAAGGCGGCGTGGGGAAATCAAACCCTAGCTCCAGGCTCAGCTTCCCACGGAGAGTTCGTACAGCACGAGCTGCCACCCCTCTGATTTTGACCCGGATGCAGGCGTGCTGCAGCTGAGAGCCTCCCACCTGCACAAATCCATGCCTAGAAGGTAAGGTAAGAGTCCTGCTGTCAAGCTTGCAGTGGGTGCACAGCTGAGTTTCCATGGGTGGTGCTGTGACAGAGCGATGCTCTGGAGTGCTGGCACAGAAGCACAGATCGTGCCTGGAGGAAAGAGACCTGGGGGTTCTAATTGACAAGCGGCTGAATATGAGCCGGCAGTGTGCCCAGGTGGCCAAGAAAGCCAATGGCATCCTGGCTTGTATCAAAAATAGTGTGACCAGCAGAAGTAGGGAGGTGATTGTGCCCCTGTACTCGGCACTGGTGAGGCCACACCTCAAGTATTGTGTCCAGTTTTGGGCACCTCAATACAAGAGAGATATCGAGGTGCTGGAGCGAGTGCAGAGGAGGGCAACGAAACTGGTGAAGGGCCTGGAAAACAAATCGTATGAGGAGCGGCTGAAGGAGCTGGGGCTGTTTAGTGTGAGGAAGAGGAGGCTTAGGGGAGACCTCATCACTCTCTACAACTACTTGAAAGGACACTGTAGAGAGGTTGGGGCTGGTCTCTTCTCACAGGTAATTAAGGACAGAACGAGAGGGAATGGCTTCAAGCTCCAACAGGGTAGGTTTAGACTGAACATTAGGAAGGAATTTTTCACAGAGAGAGTGGTCGGGCATTGGAACAGGCTGCCCAGGGAGGGGGTGGAGTCACCATCCCTGGCTGTGTTTAAGGGATGTTTAGATGCGGTACTGAGGGATATGCTGTAGGGGAGGACTTTGTAGAGTAGGGTAGATGGTTGGACTTGATGATCCCAAGGGTCTCTTCCAACCTCGATGATTCTATGATTCTTCTGAGTACGTGGCAAAAATGTGTCAGCCTTAAGGAAACAAACCTTGTTGGTTTGTGTCCCTTGGTAGTAACAGTCCCCAAAAAAGGGAAAAGTGTCAAGGGAAAAGCAGTCTGGTGCTCCCCAGGATGTTTCCCGTGCAGTGCTGTCCTGTGGCATAGGTTGTGTTGCTCTAAGACCGGTGAGAAAGAACAGCACAAGAGAGGTGTGTTGGGTGACGTGCTTTGTTGTGGAGTTGAATGGGGAATCCTATCTATCAAGGGACAGGTGGTGCTGCGAGACCTCTGGAAGGAAGACACTGAGGAACAAGGGGTGAGCACAGTACACTAGACCTGCGTTTTTCTCCCGGTCTGTGGGGCTGACAAGGATGAGAGGTGGCCTTGAGACTGTAGCTGGAAGAAGTGGACTGATACGTGGCATCTCACCTAAGGCCATGCTTTATTGGAATTGAGGTATTTTTCACCTCATTTCTTCTAGCTTCTGCTATTTTTGTTCTTAATTGTTAAGACCACGTGTTTTAAATTAATCTAGGCTCTTCCAGCCTACCTTTGCTTCTGTAAGGAATGGTCTGGGACTGGACTGGAATGTGAAAAATGTTAATTGTATTCACCAGAGAAGTCTGAGTTGAGAAATACATGGCATCATTCTTCATCTGTAAAACAAAGGAATTCCTTTTTTTTCCCCTCACCTGTTAAACTCTGTGCATTCTAAGTCAGTAGTAAGAGGGTATCTTCTCAGTTGCACCATTAAAATTAAAGCTTGTGAAAAGGGGTGATCAGATGTGCTTACATAATAATGGGATGTTTCTAGCATGCCATTTGGGTTCCTTACAAAGGCTGGTGGGGGCATAGTCTGAAATGAAAATAAACTGAAACAGATAGCTATTCAGGGTTTAGGATGATGAGGCCCCCAATTTCTACTGCTAAAGCATCTGATTTGGTAAAGGGTGAAGAGCTTCCATTTCTAGACAGCTGTATCATCAAGTTAAAAGAACAAAATATTTGTGTTTTATTGTCTCCTAATGCGTGATGCTATTTCCCTGTTAAAAATAGATTTATTTCTCCAAGGATTGTAATTCCCACAGGATGTGGAGGAACCGAGTGCAGCCCGATCGCTTGTGCTGTGCTTTGGCCACGTCCCTCTAAAGGAAATAACCTCACTCCCTTTTCTTGTGGTCAAAAAGCTTTGGTATCTGTCCTGTGCCAAGTCTTCCTGTTCTGGCCTTTCACAGCCAGTTCCCTGGGCTAGAGCCACGCATTAATTCGGGTAGGTTCTCTGCTCTTCCTGTTGCAGCTGCCGAGACAAGGTGTTATTTTTTGGCATGATTTTTTAACTTTTTCCTTCTCTGGTGTTCGTGGAGCAGCTGCAGACTGAGTGGGCCTTCATGCAAGGGAACGAGTACTCTGCAAGAACGTGCTGGGGAGCCAGCAGCTATTAAAAAGGCAAGATAATTAACCCTCTTTTCCAAGGCATCCAGAATCCAGGAATACAAATTAGTCCTGATGGAGGCAGTGTAGCAGTATTCAGAACAAAACACTGAAGTAGGCTTGTAGCGTGGGGATGGCAGAGGTTGGCAGTTGCTGCAGAATACAGGATGTAATTACTCAATTCCATATGAGCCATTACCTGTTCGTTTATTTTCTCTTGCCACCTTCTTTCCATTTGTAATCTTATCCTTCTTCAAGCTAGTAAGAAAATTAAATTGCAGATGTTTGTGCTCCACAGGCAGTAGTCAAATAAGCCTTCAGGAGTTAGTAGTTGGAGTGGCTGCTTAGTAAAACTCCCTTTCTGAATTTTCTGTCTCTTAGGCTGTTAATACAGCCGACTTTGGATATTTCAGGCAGCACAATTAATTGATGCTTTCATTGTCATCTAATTGTAAACTTCTGGCCATTTAAAACTTAATGGTACAGATGCAGGGATTTGCATGTAATATAGATTATGCTTCTATTTTCTCTTCTGTTAACCACAGCCCTGGGACTACTAAATCAGATTAAATCAGTGGGCTTTAAATAAGTATCCCATTGAAAGGCTTCAGAAGAGTGTCTAAGAAATGGCCTGGTCAGACAGGAACCTGGGCAAACTTTTTTAAGTCACTGCATGGCTTCTGACTGAAACATGGTTGCCTAAATCTTTACTAGTTTAAAGTGTGAATCCCACTTACTGAGCTTTTAATTCTCACTTGCCTATCTTCTTGGGGGGTGCTTTAAATTCAAACCAAACTCCTGACTTGTGAGGGTAGAGCTCAACTAGAATATTTTAGTTATACTTAAGTATATTTGTTTCTCTTGCCAAATAATTCCATGGAGGGTTTGCATCTTTTTGTTGCTAGACGTGTCTGTGCCTTTTTAAGGATCCTTTTTGTGCCTCTAACTTAATTTTTGTGTCCTTTTAACATGAAGCCATGAGAATTAACCACAGGATTTCAGATTAGGACTGTGCTATTGACATATTTCAAAGCATTTGAGAGTAACATGTTCCTTAGTCTAGCTTTTTTCAGCTGTGGCTTTCATCTAATAACATAAAAAATCCCTACCCTAATAGTCTAAAGGGCGGGTTTCTCTCCATGAAGGGAGATAAGGTAATAGTACTTCCCCATGTCTTTCAGGGTATGAACCCCAAGTTCACAGCTAGGTGTGACCCTGCTCTTCTTCATTTCTCCAGCACAGGCTAGAACACACTGTTTGAGTGTTGCAGCAGCCTGCCACTGCCTCTGCAGCTTCCATCACCCTGTTGTTGGGGGGGGGGGGAAGAGGGGGGGGTCTCACGG